TTGGAATTTTTCAATCGTAGTTGGCTTAGCTCAGTTACTCTCTCCCCCTATAAGTAGAGCTTCCACTTCCTAGTTCCCTCAGTTTACGGCTTACAGCCATTCAAATCAAATCACACTTTAAACATAAAAATTTTATTTTGGTTTTTTTTTTTTTGTTTTGGTTTTTTTGTTCGAATATGTTCAAAATAGTTGTGTTTTGTTAAATTATTTTTTTTTCCCATGGCCGGGCTACTACTTCGCAATCTCTTGTCACTTGCCTGATACCGCGATGCCTGCTTCTGATCGTTGCACTACCCTGATCATAATTCCGAATTAGGCGCTTCCATCTGCCGCTTCCGTTCACCTGAAATTCCTAACTCTATAGTGCTATCCCCCTTCGTGCCGTCTCCTCGTTCCCCTACCTGACTTTCCAACAATCGTGAATTCGTAACGCTAGCCTCAACACTAACACACTAACAACCTGAACTGACGCATCTATACCGCGCTCTGTCTCTTAAAGCTCTACATAATACTGATTCGGCCGGAGCGAAATGTGCGCCAGAGCATGATGCCACCCCGCTATGGTAACATGCATCGGACAGCCGGCACGGGGCCATCCTCGATGATGGCCGCGGCAGTCGTGACGGCGGCCACCTGTGCACAGGAGGAGAAGATACAGAAACATATCACGCCCACTGAGACAGGTGAGTAACCTCTGAGACAGAGGCAGCAATCACACACACACCCATGCTCACACATGCACACACATACAAACATCTCTTTGGCAATCTGTATTGCAGAGCACTCGATTAAGGCCAAGAAGCTGTGCGAGATGGCCACACAGACGATTGCCCTGTCTAGCATATTTGCATCCCTGGACTGCAATGCCTACAATCAAATACCGTATGCCGATCAATATGTGCCAACAAATGCCGACACGCCCACTGCCAATGGCAATGGCAATAGCAACGGCAATGGCAATGGCAATAGCAACAGCAACGGCAATCTCAATGGCATCGATGCGAGCGATGAGCAAGTCGTGGCCAACAACAACAAAATCAATCAGCAACAGCACGGCCAGCCGAATGCAATTGTTGCCAACACTACTAGTCCAGTGGCGACAGCAATTGCGACGGCAACAGCAACGGCAATAACAACAACTGCAGCAGCCACGGCAGCAGCAGAAACACCAGCAATACCAGCAGCAGCAATGACAACAGCAACAATTGCTGTCGGCGCCTCGGATGCAGCAGCCACGATGGAAGCTGCGCCCAATGGCAGCAGACGAGCGCCCGTGCTGCAGACCAACTTATAGCTAAACGCACAGCAATTGCAGCAGCAACTGCTAAAGGAGCAGCAGCGCCAACAGCAGCAACAGCAGCAGCAGCAGCCGGATCAGCCGCAACTGGCGACCAGTGAAAGCAGCGATGTTGCTAGCATTGGCAGCGGCAGCGGAAGTGCCACAACAACGATCGGAAATGGAAACACTAAGAAACGTGCTGCGATACCAGTTTAGGATACTTGAGCGTGTGATGATAACGATATACGGATATACAAGCGTTGTTGATTTAAAAATGAAGATCAATACATTATGAATACAAATTGAAGAAAAGCAAAAATTATAAATTGGATCAAAAGCAAACAAACGAATACAAATGAAACAAGAATGTGGAAGGTATAAATACAAATGAAACGAGATCTAAAAGGTCTCAATACAAATAAAACAATGGATGCAACAAGTGTACGTGGAAGGTATACATACATCTAATAATAATCGTAATGCAATGCAAAATGCGCACACGCTGTGCTCTCAAGACAGGGAAATTAATGGTTGCGTTAATATGTTCATTAAATGTTCATTAGTTAATTGTTTCGGGCATTAACATAAAATATACAAAAAAATTATAAAAGTCGTAAATATGTTTGTTCTTATTTATTTGCTGTCAAGGCATTTGTAAAATTTTATTTTTATTTTTTAGTTAAAATACAGCTCTAAATAGAAATAAAATTCAAATATTGCATAATTTTAATAAAGTTTTGCCATATTAAAATACATATATACTGCTTTTAAAGCATAAATTACGCCATGGATATAAACCATATATATGAATATTTGGCTCATTTCTAGCTCTTTTTTTTAGTTGTCTAATATTTGACCAAATGAATTTTGCCTTGAATTAAAAAGCGTAAATATTTTACTTTTTTTTTGCTATCAATGTCCTTTTTTCATATGAAATTGTTATCAAACATAAAAGTAAGATAATTATACTTTCATTTTAAAACTATATTAATATTTTTAAAACTAATAGAAAAATGTATTTATGCTAATATAAATTAAATAATTCATTAAAATATAATTTTTATATTGAATTATATTTAATAGTAAATATTAGTTATTGAATATTCAATTTGTATGTAAATTTAATATAAATTTATATTTTAAATTAATATCCACATATTACAAAAATAATATCTATGTATTAATTTATTATAATAAATTTATTTTTAATAAATAACTTACATTAATTAAATGATTTTGTATATTAATCAAAATGTATTTTACATACAAAATATATTATTTTGAGAAGTTTTTTTTTTTTAAATTCGGTAACATTTTAAATATTTTAAATTACAATTGAATTTTATAATTTTGTAATGTAATCCATTTTTCATTTTTTTCACAAACTTGGCTTTTTCTGCCTTTGGCTACGTTTTATTTTCCGATTCCATATATTTTATATCTCAATTAATTAGAAATATTTTATTTCTATTGATTTTAGTTTAATTTTTGTATATTTTCAAATAACTTTATTATTTCATATAATAATAAAAATCTAAAATAATATGTATTTTTCTAAGTCAACCTCCCTGCCTTCTCACTTTCGCCACTTGAAGCAAGTATTGTAAAACAAATCTATAGTTCATAAACTAAAAGAAAAAAAGAAAAATTAATTTGCAACAAGCTCTTACAATAAGCCCAACGAAATGGTCAAAATAATTGTCAGCCACATTTAATTGTATAATTGCGAAGCGTTTTAAGTGTTTTATCATTAAGCCCAACTAACTAGTTAATACGGATATTTATACATATGTATATACATATAGAGATCATGCGTGGTTTGGCTGCAGTCGCAGCAGAGTTTACCAAAAACAAAAATTGTGATATAATTTCAAAAATGTGTGTGTTTTCTAAGCCCCAATCTCATACTGCTAACGTTTAGGCTAAGCTGTGTGGTGTGGACCTCTTTGCTTTGCTGTGATTATGTTACGAGGGGGCTGCACACATGCATGCACACATACGCAGCCCCCTTGCAACGTGTGGCAGCAACGACTCGCGGCGGCGGCATAACAATTGCATTTACTGTGCTGTTTCGAGCCCAGCAACATGGTAAATTTAATTGTTATTTGGATGAAAAGGCGTCAAGGGTCGGCGATTAATTATAAGTGAGTTGTATATATGTAAACGTAAATCATTATTATATATATATATATAAATACATATAAATAGCATTACGTGGTTCTTTGTGTATTCGTGCTGCTCTGCATAAAAAATGAAATAAATAAATGAAATACAAATTAAGTACTTATAAGGTCGTATTTAATGAGGTGATAAGAACAAAACACGCAACTAAAATTAGTAAACAAATTAATATAAATATTATAGATATGTGTATGTATATGTACATGTACATGTATAGCTATAAAACAAGTCTAGCCAAATTCAAAGAGTTTAATTGTTAGCAAATTGCATGTGTATTAACTATTCTGTGTGTATTAAATGTAAATAAGTTACCAATTAAATACAAATTAAAACACAACAATACAAGCCATATTTATACCTACTTAACTGAATATCTCGGTGAGTATTTACTAAAGTATATACATATATATACACAGATAAATGTTGTTGGGTGGCATATATGTATATTTACGAGAACTTACAAAGCATTGAACAACAAAAATCTATCAATAAAAAATACTAACTAATTCAAGTGATTTCGATTTATTTATTTTGTACGCATGACTAAAGCCTCGCCGGGCAATAAGCTTAGCTCATGTGTGGCAAGGCTGTCGCTGTAGAGCGGGAGAAAGAGGGGTATATATTAAATGTCGGTAAGTATATTATGTAGACATAGGCTTACCCCTCGAGCTTGGTAGACGCCAAGCTGCTTATAAGCAGCTCTAGGCTGGCTGGCAAAGTCTTGTCAAACTCCAGCAAATTGACCGTGACTTGAGTCGAGCCAAAGTTGGAGACATACATGATGCTAGCAGAACCAGCGAGGGACCTAAAAGAGAATTAAAGAGAATTAACACTACTTCCAGAAAGCGAGTTCTAACAGCACCCACCTCTTCAGTACAAACACATCCTCAGTTAGCGCCTGATATTTGGTCGCACCATTTTGCAGAGTTTTCAGTGAATTGCGCAGCTCAGTCAGCGCCTTGTAGATATGCAAGTGGGAACGTTGCGCCGCGGACTCGGTGGCCACGTTGATCGTCTCATAGTCGGCAGCCAGGGGCAGCCAGGTCTTGGCGGCCGTGGAGAAGCCAGCGTTGATGCCGCTCGTCCACTGGAATGGAGTGCGTGCGGGGTCTCTGGTGTATAGCTCATATATATCGGGGTTCGAGTTGCAGCCCCAGGGATCGACAGTGTCCTCCCAGCTGATCTGGCCGTCTGTCATGCCCAGCTCCTCGCCCTGGTAGGTGACACTGGCGCCGGGCAGCATCATGATCAGCATGTTCATGGCATCGATGTGCTGCTCTCCATAGCGACTGGCCGCCCGGCGCTTGTCGTGATTGCCCAGCTGAAGGGGAGCATCAGTGGCTCGCTTGGGATTTCTGTATAGCTGAAGCTACTTACCACCCAGTTGGCTGTGCGTCCGGCTGGCATGTTGTTGAGCCACATATCAATGGCCTTCTGCACATTGTATCCACTCAAGGGGCTCTGCTCCATCACGGTTATCAGGTTGAAGTTGAAGGGCAGGTGAGCGCCATTCACCGACCGATTGCCATAGAACTGCATGGTGAACCAGGCCGGCGAGTAGGTCTCGATGAGCAGCACACTCGAGTTGCCGCCATGGATGCGCTGGTAGTCATCGAGCACCTGGCGCCACTGGTACACCATGTCAATGGTCTCCGGCTGGTTCTCAATGTACGCCGTCGTCAGATAGTCACGATCGTCCGCATACCCCGTAGCCCCAGTCAACTGCTCGTCGGGAAACTGACCGTCAGCATCCGGCAGCACCTCGAAGAGCGGCGGCAGCGCATCGCACCGGAAGCCAGCGACGCCCTCGTTCAGCCAGTAGCGCAGCACGCGCTTCATCTGCTCGACCACATCCGGGTTGCGATAGTTCAGATCCGGCTGCTGCACGGCAAACTGATGCAGATAGTACTGCTGGCGCTCCTCGTTCCACTGCCAGGCGCTGCCCCGGAAGTACTGCAGCCAATTTGTTGGTGGCTCCCGCTTGCCACTGTCTGCATTTATTTTCCCATCGTGCCACACGTAGTAGTCCTCGTAGCCCTTCTCCCGCTTCACGGACTTCTTGAACCACTCGTTCTCGTCGCTGGAGTGATTGGGCACAAAGTCCAGGATGATTTTCAGGTCCAGCTCTTTGGCTTTCTTGATGAGCGCACGAAAGTCCTCCATTGTGCCGTACTCTGGCTGTATGTCGAAGAAGTCGGAGATGTCGTAGCCAAAGTCCACCATGGGAGACTTGAAAATGGGCGACAGCCAGGCAGCTGTCACGCCCAGATCCTTGAGGTACTCCAGCTTGCTCGTGATGCCATTCAGATCGCCGATGCCATCGCCATCCGAGTCCATGAAGGAGCGCGGATAGATCTGATAGAACTGCGCCGTCTCCCACCAATCCTTGGTGCGCGCCTTCGTCGCCTTATCCTTGCACGCCTCACCTCCAAGTGCAACCAGGACGAGGAGACTCAGCGCTGCAGCAAAAGCGCACTTTGTAAGCAAAATCATTTTGTGCAGCTGAATAGACAGCGTCACGGCCTTATATAGGCTACGAGAGGGCAGTTAGGTAATTTTGATTAGTTTCGTGGAAATTTCCAAGCGATTGTCGATTAGCCAAGTTCATATGCGGTATTGCTGCTGGTATACTTGACTTTTTATTCAGTTCAA